CCACCTTCCTGCCTCTCCCCAGGGACATCTCAAGTGCCCACCTGCACTTGACCTCTTGTCACCCTAGACCCTCCCTGACTGGACAAGGCATCAAGGATGAAGGGGAGAAGGTATCCTGCCTCCAGCTAGCTGCCATGTCTTGCGTGGCCGTCATTGACAGGACCTCCAGTGGTGGCCCACATGGGATGAAGACAGTCCCAGTAGCTACTGGAGACTGTTTTCAAAGTTGTCATAAATGTGAGATGACAAGGCCATTGATAAGTGAGGAGTAGGTGGATTGTCTTGAGAAGGCTGATTACAATGCTCCCCTTTTCATACCCCCTTTGGACACCTCTACATGTGTGTCTGTGAGCCTCTTTAGTTTCAGTGAGATATGATTCATACCATACACTTCCATGGTTCAGTCACAATTAAAATGAGTTGTGTATACATCACCACCATCAGTTCTAGAACATCCACTCCCTCCCGTATTCATTATTTGCTCCCCATTTTCCTCCAAAATCCTCCTGTGCCCCAATCCCCACAGTATCCCCAATAAACCATTACACCAATTATTGGCTCTATGCATCTGCCCATCCTATGTTTCATATACTGGAAAACATACAAAAACAAAACAAACGAGCAAAAAAAACCAAAAACAAACAAAAACCAGCAAATACATTTAAAAAGAATTGAAAAGACCAATGGAAATTTTCAAATAAACCAGAGAAAAAAATTTCTGTCTAGAAAAAAAAGCAAGAAATACTTAAAACTAGAACAAATCCAAAATGGGTCAAGAAGGAGATCAAATGACCAGGTACCACATTATAATTTAACTCCATCTGCCATAATCAAATTTACAATCATTTCAGTCTGTTAGCAAGTTGATTCACATCCCTCAACCATGCTCAGAGGGGATACACCAGGGGCTTAACCCAGGGGCCCTGCAGATGGATTTTGGGCTCTCACTGTCATCCATAGCCTTCTGCAGATTGAGTGTTCACAACTTAAGTTCTGATACTTTTCCTCCTTCATATTTGGATTTTGTTATTTATTATCCTTGGATCACACAGGCTGGTGCGCTTCTTCCATGTGGACTTAGTTGATGCTCACTTAGATGACTGCTTGTTTGAATACAAGCCTTTAAAGCCCCAGATGCTGTTATTTTTTAATAGCCAGGCATCATCCGCTTTCTTCCCTACCCTTTGCTGTAGTGTCCGTAACTTTCGTGATCTCTTCATGAGGGCGGGCATCGAGCAGGCCCTGCCATAAGAATTACCTGTAAATGTTCTTTCTTGGATCGGGGCTAGAGCTAAGTGGGAACACCAAATCCATTCACTTGTCCATGGATTATGTACATCTCTGTTTTACTGTAGAGGCCTTGTTATTTTTTGCTAGCCTCTTGAAGGAAGAGGTCATGTTTGATTATCTGTAGTCTCGGCATCTAACACCAAGCCTGGCTAGAATAAAAATAAAAATCAGTTTTAAAAAATCAGTCATAGAACACTCCCCCACCCCACCTCCCACCCCCTGCCTTGGTGTTTCCAAGGCTATAAATCTTGATGGAAGCAGACTACCACATTTTTCTCCTATAGATCAGCTGGTGGGTTCAAACCACTGACCTTTGGGTTAACAGACAAGCACTTAACTATCATGCCACCAGGCCTCCTCATAGCTACAATAACCAAAAAACCTACTGCCTCTCAGCCTATTCTGACTCATAGTAGTCCTATCTAGGGTTTTCAAAACTAACTCTTCATAGGAGCAGCCAGTCTCTTACTTCTCCCTTGGAGCAGCTGGTGAGTTTGAACTGCTGATCTTGGTGTTAGCAGCCCAATGCCTAGCTCACAGTGCCACCAGGGCCCTTCTCTAGTTGGAATAGGCACCAATAAATGCTTAAATGAATGAGTGATTTCACTTTATTCTTCTCTTTGCCCATTCTCCCCAGACACGCCTCCCATCTCTAGTAACCCTGCGCACCACACCACACCACACCCCAGAGTACATACAGTCCCCTAGTTTCATTTTCGCTTGTCCAGGGACACTTCGGAAATACTTCCCGGACTCTGCCAGCTCTCCTTCCTCTCAGCACCCTGGGATCTGTGGTCTGTGTTCCATTCTAGCACTCACCACATTGCATTCGGCCCCTGAATCTTGGAACCCCCATGAAGAGGGAAATGAAACGTTGCCCAGTCCTGTGCGCTCCCCCTGCCCCCCAATGATCTGTTGTTATCCATCAGGTTTGCGTTGGCTGACTTCAGAGGTAGATCGTAGTCTATCGGAGCCAGGAAACTCTGCTGAAGCCCATTCAGCAGCATAGCGCACAGGCCTCCACTGACAGATGGGTGGTGACTCTCATCAAGCACATTGCTGGGGATTGAACCCAGGCCTAAGGGTCTATTTCCTGGGCTTTTTTTCCTTAGATGCTGATCTCTTTGAGTGCCAGGATTGTGTCCTTTTTACCTGCGGCGTGGACACTGGGCCCTCGGTAACTGTTGAGTGTGTGAATAGCTGTGTGAACTGGGGCTGCGAACAGCTGTCGGAACGAGATCTGTATCTTACTAAGAAATGTTTCCTGATCATATGTCTGGCAAGGGTGGTTAAGGTAACTTACCTGCCTGAACCAGTTAGGACCACGTTTAACTACACACGGCAGAATGCAGAGTACATCAGTGGCTCAGGTATTTCCCTGACGCGTAACACAAGTCCAGGGCAGACAGGGTGACTGACTCCCCAGTCACCAGCACTGTCCTGTTCTGTTGCCGCCACCATCCACAATACAAGGGCTCTTCATGGTCCAAGGCGGCCCCCCTCGGCTCTAGATATCACAAATGCATTCTAATCAGGAGAAGGGTGAGAACAGTAGGCAACCTCCCCTTCCTTCCAAGGATACTCTCTGGAAGTTAGCAAAAGAAAATCCATGACATTCTATTGGCCAGAACTTGGTCACATGACCACATTTAGCTACAAGGCCTGCTGGGAAATGTAGTCTTTATTCTGAATGGCCACGTGCCCATCTGGAAAGTGAGGCTTCTTGTTAATGGAAGATGAAAGAGTGGCTAGCTATCAGGAGCCAGCCAGTGGTCTCTGCCACACTGCTTTTATGACTGCAGGGAACAGCAGCCCTCTCAGACTCGTATGAGCGCTAAAGGAAGTGTGTTGGATGGGTCTGGGGCTATTTCACGAGGCCCAGGAACAGGACGTATGGCAGGGCTTCTCAGATACCAGGATGCGAAAGCTGCCAGCAACCAGGAAGCTCTTCTCTTCTGCCCTTCTGGAGTACTGGGGATCCCATTTGCTTTCCTATACACTGTGTTTGTTTCTCTCTGCACATGGCAAGAGAGATGTCCCAGGCCACGTTTAGTACTTTAGCTAGCTTCCCAGAACCTCAATCCCAAATTTCCTGGAGAGAGCGATACTGATTGATCAGTTAGCAGTCAGTCTGGGGTCACCCTTGGTTCAGTCAAGTCTGGCCAGAACAAACAGCCGGTGCACCTCTCCAGGTGAGGAGAGCAGTTTCCAGAGACTGGGTTCAGGGATGAGGAGCCCCCCTCATAAAGGTATCCAGAGCACGGACATACGCATTCAAGTCTGTGCCCTTGGCTTTGCAAACTATCATTCATTCTCACAACCAGTTAGTGAGCACCTTCTGTGTGCCAGCGGATGGATCTACCCTCTTGGAAATTGTTTCTAACCTGGGCTGTCTTTGGGAAAGCCCAGAGCTCTTTCAATGAGTCGATGTTTAGTTTTCGACGTTCAAAGTCGGGCTCAAGGTCTGATCAGTGGGATGTGGGATGTGTCCCCGGCCTGGGTCTCTGGGAGCTAGAGAGATGACCGGCATTCCTTTCGTGTGTGTGCTTCTACTGTAAGGATGTCCCGGCTCTTCACTCAGCCTAGTTGGTTCTGACTCACAGCCACCCCGTTGAGCTGGAGATGTACATCTATCTGTACAAGAGCAGACCGTCTCTCCTCCTCCTGCGGAGCAGCTTATGGGACAGCCCTCGAAAGTCCAGCTCCGCAGCAACCCCACGGTGAGGCTCTGGGCCAGGCCTCAGTTTCCTCAGCTGTGGCTCATGGGTTTCGTTCAGCTCTGACATTCAATCATTTCTAAGTTAGCTGCATTTCATACTCGATCTATGAGGTTGGCAGCTTCCACCCCCCCATGCGTGTCTGCATGGTGGCCCATCTGTGTTACTCCCGCGCGCGCGCGTCCTGCTTCTTGTCCTGCCATCCTCCGGCTTTTCCCAGAGTCTGGCCTCTGTTCCTCAGCCCCTGCAGTCTTCCCAGTGGTGGGGGGTGCACACTCTCTACCCTCTTCCGTGCCTTGGACACCCAAACCCCTCACCGCCCATCACAGGATTAGCTCTTACTCCTCAGCCTCCCAGGATTGTTCTCTGAGCCTAGGACTGAAAGGCTGAGCACGTGTGTCCCCAGCTGTCTCTCTTGTTAATCATTCTGTACAGATTTGTCAGATTATTAACCTCGGCAAGTCCCTGGTGCACAGTGCTCCTGAGGCTCAGAGACAACACAGCGGTTCTCAACCTGTGGGTCGTGACCCCTTTGGGGGTCAAATGACCCTTTCACAGGGGTCACCTGATTCATAACTAGCAAAATTACAGTGATGAAGTAGCAACAAAAATAATGTTAATGGTTGCAGGGGGGTCACCACAACACGAGGAACTGTATGAAAGGGTCGCGGCATTAGGAAGGTGAGAACCACTGCTCTAACAGATGTATCTGGACCCACACACTAGTCAGTGCCCAGCCACACTTCCCCCTCGGGTCTGTACCAGGGGCCTGTCTTGGAGTTGGGGTCTTTGAGGTGACATGCTGACTCTGAGCTCTCCTTGGAGCCTGGATGGAAGAGTAGAAATGGGTGTGTAGTGTTTATGTGGCGGGGGCTCAGGGGGCCTCTGGATAGGTGTTCCAATGGCCAGCAGAAAACTGTGTGTGTGTCTGGAGGAAGGAGCATCCCCTACCCAGCTCAGTGGCCCTGACCCTCCATCCGCACTTGCTTCCAGAGCCTGGAAGGAGACCAAGCCATCCTGCAGAGAATCAAGAAGTCCGTTCGGGCCATTCACAGCTCCGGCCTCGGTAAGTGAGACAGCCCTGCCCACCCCGCCTGACTTGGAGCTCCCCCTGAGTCCCGCCCTCCCTCCACAGGCCACGTGGAGAACGAAGAACAGTACCGAGAGGCTGTGGAGTCCCTGGGCAACAGCCACCTGTCCCAAAACAGCCATGAGCTGTCCACAGGCTTCCTGAACTTGGCTGTGTTCACTCGGGAAGTGACTGCACTTTTCAAGAACCTGGTGAGGCCCCTCACCTCCCTCAACCCGCCTGTAGCCCAGGCCCAGGGTCAATCAAGTGGTCTTGAGACCCTGGCTGAGGAAGGGCTGGGCTCCTGGCTTCTGCGGTCTTCCATGACCTCTGACCCATGACCTGAGCTCCCTCTGTTAGCTCCAACCCACCCTTTGCATTCTCCCCCTCCCTCTGCTTCTTGAACCATTCTTCTCTGTCTCCCCTGTCCCCACTTCTTCTGCTGTGGCGCTGGGATCCACCGAGGGCAGCAAAGGGCTCAAGTGGACAGGGCCCCTGGAGGGGGTCCGGGGAAAGATGAAATAGGCTGGCCTCCGTGTGTCACCTTTGGGCCTTGGCTGCTGCCACCACCTTTCCTTATCACACTCTACCTTTCCAGTCGCCTCCACTTTGTTCTCTGCAAGCCTCTCAGCTCCTGCACACGCCCCACAGGCTTTCAAACCTCAGAGAGAAGTTGGGGTGTCCCGAACTGGGCGCCTACCCGGGATAGTCCAGGGTAAGGAGAGCGGGGCTGTCAACTGTCTTCCCTGCTGCCCTCTCCTTGTTGCGCGTCTCTCTCTCTCTCTCTCTCACTGTCTGGCCTCCTTGGCCCCACCCCTCCCCCGGCCTCATGATGCTTCACTCTGAACCCCTGGGAGCTGAACAGACCGTAACCCAGGGTTGGGGGCTATTGTCTCTTTCCAGGTTCAGAACCTGAACAATATTGTCTCTTTCCCCCTGGACAGCTTGTTGAAGGGACAACTGAGGGATGGGCGACAGGTGAGCTTCTGAGTGCGGCAGGGGGCACAGACACCGTGAGACGGTGGGGAAGGGCTGAGCAGTGGACCACAGGGGTGGCAGGGCTGCCCACGGGCTGTCGTGGGAGTGCCGCTGCTTTCCTATCACTGACCCTGAGAGGATTAAAACTTGACCGGACTCTGGGGTCCGCTTCGGGCAGCTGACCTTCTGTCCCCCGGGCCCTCATGTTAAATGTCTCATTCTGCTCTAACAATGACCCTGGGAGACAGGCTCTATAGGGAGTCACCCCACTTTGCAGCTGAGGAAACTGAGGCTCAGGGAGGGAAGGAAGCCCATGCCTGGGCTGCGCTACCCTCTGTGTCTAGCAACCCCTGGCTGCAGATAGAGTAAAGCCCAAAGAAGGTAAGAGAATAATCTCCCTGGGAAGTCTGCCCTAGAAGGCTGAGGGGAGCAGCTGTCCTCCCCCCGGAGGGCTCCTCCCTGCCCGCCACTGGGCAGCAGCCTGGGAGCCACCCAAACCAGACCAGCAGCTTTTGCACGTGGCTGACTGGGGCACCTGGGAGTCCAAGCTGCTCCAAAGGGTGTGTGCAGCCCAGCTGGGTGGGGCCCGGGCAAGCTGGGCGGGGGTCAGCCGGGTCTCGCTGGTTGGCACAGTAAGCTTGGGCAGGCTTCTCAACCTGGCCCCTTCCCACTGAGAGGAGAAAAGGTGGGAGCAGGTTAGGACAGCAGTCCAATATTCCTCCTTCCATCTTCCTCCACATGGCTTATCTCCATTTTCTGAGGAACCAGCAGCTCCCCACCCCCAGGCAGAGCCCACCAAACCTGACTGGTTCTTGGCAACTGTGAGAAGGAGGAGTTTGGGTGGGAGAAGACACTCGGCCCTGAGAATTGGGGCTCATTGGGATGGTTTAGGGTCAGATTCGGGGACGGATTTGGGATCTGGGTCAAAGGAGCATGGTTGGTTAGAATAAGGCTCAGAGCAGCAACAGGCAGGTGGGGTGTCCCTAAAACCAGCAAACCATACTGCTTACTCCAGAGCCCATGTGCTCTGTTGAGCTAGTTGTTCTTTTTTACCTCAGGATTCAAAAAAGCAGCTGGAGAGGGCATGGAAGGACTACGAAGCCAAAATGTAAGTGGCCGCAGCCAGGGTGGGCTGTCCAGGAGAGTCCTGCTTACGCTGTGCAGGAGACTGGGTCTCAGTCAAACCTACATGCTACCTGAACGTGCACAGCTTCCCGCTCTAAACATGTTTATAGGGGTGCATTGTGTTCCATCCTGACTGGCATCTGGTGGCCACCCCAGGGGAGGGGACCTCAAGGCTGAGCAGGTCCATCTGCTCAGTGATGCTAGCCATGGGTTTAGACGGAAAGAAGCTACCACTTACTGAACACTTTTATGTGCTCATCACTGTCCTCAGTTTACCCCTCCCCGAGAGGGAGATAATTAGTATCCCAATTGTCAGGGGAGAAATCAGATTATCAGGGAGCTTAAGTCACTTGCCCAAGGCCACACAGCTAGGCAGAGGCAGACCTGGGGTTCCTGCCCATCTTTCACACTAAGCAGTATCTGTGAGCCATGGTTGTAACCACTGTGGCCCTCTGTCTAGCTGAGGGCCTTCCTCGTTTTCACTGCCCCTCTACCAGGCAGGATGCCCTTCTGCAGGGCCTGGCCCCTCCTGATGACCTGTTCACAGTACCGTGAGGCGAAGTCTCACCATCCTCACTTCTGAAGAGCATGCTAGCTGTGCTTCCTCCAAGACAGATTTGTGTGTTCTTCTGGCAGTCCATAAGCTTTTGCCAGCACCGTCATTCAAATGCATCACAAACAGCACCAATTGTGGGGGTGCCACGGGACCGGGCAGTGTTTCCTTTCGTTGTGCCTAGGGTTGGCACTGACCCAGTGGCACTTCCCCCTACCTATCACCACCACCAGGCAGTATCTATAAACATTGAGCGGGACACGGGACGACCCAGGGATTGTCCCAGGGGTTATCGTGCCTGGGCCTTCTGTGTGTTCCACACGTGTAATCTCTAGATCACTCACCGGCTACAAGGCAAGATATCTTGGGAGACATGTTGGAGAGGGAAGGCACCTCAGAGATCCAGTTACCCACTCCTCCAAAGTAAAGGCTTGTTTTTGTTTTGTTTTGTTTTGTTTTGTTTTGTTTTAGGACTGTACAGGTCCCAGCCCCCGCCCTCTCTGCTGCTCTCAGGATCCTATGGGATCCACCCTCCAAACTCATAATCTTTTGTCTATCTGACAAAAAGTACATCATGACCATCTTTCTACTTCATTCTTAGTCTTTTACAACATAATCCGAATCCTCCCTATCATTAGGGAAAGGAGTTCTGGTAGTGCAGCTTAGGAATTGGGCTGATAACCCTAAGACCAAGAGTTCAAACCCACCAGCCGCTTCACAGGAAAAAGATGAGGCTGTTTGCTCCTGTAAGGATGTACAGTTGCAGACACCCTAATAAAGAGCAGTTCACCTCTGTCCTATAAGATCTCATAAGTGAGTCAGGATCAGCTCAATAGCAGTGGATTATCACTGGGGAGTGGGCCAGGGGGGGAGATTCTCCCCTTCCTGAGGGAGACCCAGGTTTGATTCCGAGCCAGTGCCCCTCAAGCGCAGTCCCCTCCCGTCTGCCAGCAGAGGCTTGCTTGTGCTGTGATGCTGAACAGGCTTCAATGGTGTCTCCACACTCAAACGAACCAGCAAAGAGGCCTAGCTGCCCACTTGGCATGGAGCACAGTGTACACAGGGCCACTCAACAGCAGCGAACAATGACAGCCATAACCACTGGGGAATGAAGCTTGCGCCCACTCCTAGTATTTTCTGTAGGGTCAAGTTCAAGAAGTAGATCCTGGGCTTTTTATTCTTGCCCCAGATCCCAGACCATAGGTTCCCCCGGCAATTAAAAACTTTTGATAGCCATCATCCAGGAGACAGCATAGGTATCTACTTTCGCAGCCTCCCACTCATGACTGGCCTAGCAGCACCCTGGGGCGGTGCCACCTACTTTGGGAAACACTGTTTTCGATCTATGGGACTTCCCGGTGTCTGAAGCAAGGCATGCCCCCTCCTCCCAATAGAATCTTCGGTGTCAGCCCTGTGATGGGGGCCGTGGGGGTGTCGCTGCCAGTGCTTCGTCACTGCCTGTGATAGGCTGGGGCTGTCTGTTCTCATTGGACACGGAGTCCCTTCCCTTCACGGCCTCACCCTGCTGAGTTACTTGACTAGGCCCTTAGCTTAGCAGGGCATCGTCTGCCACATGGCCAGAACAAGCCCCGCCCCACCCACCTTCCCCACGCAGCACTGCTTGGACCAGGTGTACATATTGAGCTTGCCTGGCAGACTCGTTTTAAGAAGGTTCCATTTGATTGTTGGGTCACGGGCTGGCTCAGTTTACTCCGTGGGGCCCTGAGTTGCTGTGTCCAATGCTCTGCCTGCAGGCACAGTGATCTCCCGGGTCCTACTGTGCACGCTGCACACGGCGGCCCCGCGTCCCAGCACCAGGGTCCTCTCTGGGCAGGACCGGCGTCCCACAGATGATGTGGTTTGACCCCGCAGATTGAGCCCCTCTCAGGCTTCTTCTGGCTTGAAATTCAAGCTCAGGTGTTGCAGGGCTGGGCTTCCTCCCAATGTTCCAGAGGCTGCCGGGGACCGTTGGCTCACCTCGGCATTGCGGGTGGGGGGGGCTGTGGCAGTCTCTGCCTTGGCCCCTGAGTGGCTCTCTGCCTACTGCGTGTCCATATCTCTGTGTTCCAGTTTTCCTCTTCCCAGCACACCAGGTGTTGGGTTCAGGCCCACCCTCCTGCCACATGACATCACTTCAACCTGAGTACATCTGCAAAGAAATACCCAGTTTCCAGGAAGGCAGAGGCACAGGTCCAGAGATTTGGGACTTGAACACATCTTCTTAAGGGGACACAGTTCAACCCACACCCCACTGCTGTTCATGGGAGCTCCAGGGCCAGCCGGATACCGGCATGCATGCATCGCTGTGTAATACCATCTCATTCTCACCAAACCAGTCTGGGCAGCAGCTGATAAGGCCCACGGCCCTGATGGCATCTGTCAGATACCTTCGGGAGCCCCACCCCCTGGCTGCTCATTTAGGAGAAGGGTTCCCCTCCGATCCTGGGACTGCCCCAAGAGGCCCCTTAGGCTCTGTGGAGGGACTGAGTGTGTATAGGCTAATCCAGATGTTTCCTCATCTGTCAAATGGGGCCAGCCATACTATGCAGGGTTGATGTGGGAAGGAAATGAGGGCAATGCATTCAAGCGCCCGGCACGTCACTTCAGCAGATATTGATTGAGCCAGAATTGAGACTAGGCTAGCACAGGGAGGCCAGAAAGGCAGGAGCCCAGGCCTCTGTTCCCAGTGTTTCCCAGGCAAGTTCATGGTCTTGGGCAAGCGACTGCCCCGATTTAGGTCTCAGCTTTATCATTCATCCCTATCTGTGGTGCCTCAGAGAAGACACGGGTTGACTCTCACCAGCTGGAGGGAGGCAACAAGACTGGGTCACTGACCACGGCTGCCCCCAGGCTCTAACTCTAGTCAGCCCCAAGTTCAGATCCTGGCACCATCACTTAATAGCTGTGTGACTTAGACAAGTCACTTTGTCACCACCGAGCCTCGGGCTGTTGCGCTGCAAAATGGGGTCATGCTTCCTGCCTCCGCGCATGGATGTCACATCCCTGGGGGGAGGGCCTGCCAGACCTCCTGGCATAAAACTAGTGCTCAAAACTCCTAACTAGTAATAACAGCTAACATTTGGTCAAAGCATCTTTTTCTCCTGGCACTGTGACAAGCCTTTTACACCCACTGGCAGATGTATCCCCCTGGACAGGGACAGGGATGATCATGATCCCCAGAGCCTCGGGAACAGAGGCAGGTGGATTCTACAGGTTTGTCAGCCCAGAAAGGAGGCCCAAGGAGTAAGGGACACGCGAAGTGCTGCTGCCCCCGTGAGAGTACCGGCACCAAGGCTGAGAACAGCAGGGAGCTGGTTTGGGTGGAAGGCGGGCGGGAAGGTCGGCATCACAGGTGGGGTGGCACCTAAACTATGTTCAAGGCACTGTGGTTGGTGGCTGGTGTAGGATCCGTTGGCCTCCTCCAGCTACTAGGAGTACCTGTTCCCACCCTTGAAGAGTAATTCAATTATTGCCATACACGGAGGCTTCAAAACGTCCATGGGAAAATGGAGTGAAGAGATAGGCGGATTTTCCCAGCAGCTCATCAAAGCCCCCTCACGGTGCCCTTCCCGGGTCATGACGGCCTCTTATAACTGGCATTTCAGCCCTTCTCACCCACTGTTCGTTTCTCCTGCTGCAAGGCGCTCAAAGGAAATGAGAATGCGCCTCACATCTGAAATGTTTGCACCGTTGCCAGCCCTCTGAGGATCGTTGTCTCCCCCTGTCACTGCGCATTCATTTTCAGATCCCCTGGAAGCTTCTGCCTGACCCCAGAGCTGGTTCCAGGGTCAGCGCCCATCCCAGCTGACCCTGCCACCCACTCCTGCCTGGGGTAGCAGAAAGCTTTAGGGAGATGAAAAACAAGCCCTTCTGAGAGAATCATTAAAGAAGAAAGAAAGCCTGCAGCACCCTGTCTGATCCCAGTGGTTCTTGACAGGGGCACCTTCACCACCCCCACCCTGATAGATACTTAGCAGTGTCTGAGGACAGTGCTGATGGTCCTAAGTTGGAGAGGATGCTGTCATCTAGTGGGGAGAGGCCAGGGATGCTGGAAGCGTTCTACAACACACAGGGAAGTCCTCAGGGTCAGCAGGGCCAGCCTGGAGACCCTGCTTCACAGAGACGATGGACTGCCAGAGACAGGCTCTGCATATATTCATTGGTCCCAAGGACTAGCTTCAGCAAGGCCCAGAGCTTGTTGCCCCAAAGGACCTACGTACTCCAAGGCCATCGCGTCTTCAGTGGACAGAAAACTGAGGCAGAAAGACGACAAACAGTAAAAACTGCTGTCTTCTGTGTGCGGAGTCCTTCACCTGATCTCATCTGGGTGCACACAAGCACCCTCCCGTTGTCCAAATATGAAGCCATGGCTGGTGAAGGCTTGGAGCTAGTGAGCAGCAGATCCCATAGTAAGCCCTGGGCTGCCTCCTCTGTTCTGGACAGGCACCTGCTGGGCAGCAGTGCTGTTAACACATCTTCATACAGCTTCATGGTCACAGGTACCCAGCCCAAATGTGGAAATACTCTCCTGGCACTGGGCAGTTGGATGGGCGTGGAGTTTCGAGGCCACCATGTGCACACAGTGCCACCCCTCTTCAGAGAGGGAGAACGGTGGCCCTGAGATTCACAGGGAGGCTCTGCGGCCAAACAGGTCTTTACTAGAAAAGGACAAAGGCCTAAAGCTCCATGGATGCAGAGGCACGAAGGCTCTCTCAGCTCTTGCCCATGATCTTGAATCCCTCCTGCAAAATCAGACTGCCCGCCCCCCAGATTCCACCCTGCCCTATCTGAGCCCCTCACGTTCCTGCATAAAAGCCCCAAATCCTAGTGCTCTTGGGGTAAAGATCAAGCACCTTAAAACTATCTGAATTAGGCTTCTCACCGGAGTCCCTGTGTGTGCTGTTGGGCCTATTCTGATATGGAGTCCCCTGTAGTGCAGAGTAGACCTGCCCCATGCGACTCGTAGGCTGTAATCATTAGGGGGGCAGATGGCCTTCTGGTGAGTTTGAGCTGTGGACTTAGGGGAGCCCTGGGGGGCACAAATGATTCATCACTGGGTGACTAATGGAAAGGTTGGCCAGTCCAACTTCATAGTGGTGTCTTGGAAGAAAAGGCTGGCGGTCTGCCTCCCAAAGCCGACAGCCTTTTGAAAACCCCCTGGAACAGTTCTGCCCTGCACAAGCGGGGTCACTGTGAGGCAGATCAACTTCACGGCGATCACTCACCACTACCCGGGCCCCACGTGCTCTGGCACCTCATCCAGAACCACTCCCTTCTGTCTCTGCACTCCAGGCTGCCACACCGTCTGATCCTGCTGCCAGCCCTGGCTTCCTTCTCAGACACCCATGCCCAGCTCAGGGCAAGGCTGGACCCCGCCCCACTCTAGGCTCCCATAGCTCGGGCTCTGTTGTGATTGGATTAGCATCTCCCCCCACGAGGGTGCCCATTTCCTGGCTCTGCCTCAGTCATCACTATGCCCAGCTGGCACATCGGAGGGCCTTGTGATCTGCCAGTACCCCCACCCTTTAGGGTGTCTGTGGCTGATTGGAGATATAGGGATGGTGGGACCTGAGGGGCCTGCAGGAGAGTAACTCAAGGCCTCTCTTTCGTTGGGTCCTAGACTCAGACTGGAGAAGGAGAGGGATCGGGCCAGGGCAGCAGCAGGGAGCTTCGGGGAGGTGGCCCAGGACACACAGAGAGAACGACGCACCTTCCAGCTGCACATGTGTGAGGTGAGGGCGCTCCAGGGGTGGGGGGCGGGGAGGTCATGTCAACGTCATCTAAACCCCCAGTGCCCAGTCACAGACACACCACAGGGCCGGGATGCCCGCAGGACCAGGCTGAGATGGGGTCTGCAGTCCCTGGTCCCCAGGCTGCAGCTCCCATCATGCAGTGTGACTCACCCTTCCTAGTACCTGCTCAAAGCTGGGGAGAGCCAGGTGAAGCAAGGGCCTGACTTTCTGCAGAGCCTCATCAAGTTCTTCCACGCCCAGCACAAGTAGGTATCTCCCTGAGGACCAAGGGTGCTGGGGCCCACCACTCCACATCCCTCGCCCCATAGCCCTCTGGGTAACCCCCAACAAAGCCGGCTCCACAGGCTGGCAGGGCCAGAGGATGCTACTCCCCTCACCCCCTCTCTGCTGAGTGCTCACCACTTTCAGGCCTGGTGCTGTACCCCAGCTCATGGTGGGATTGGACCCAGCCTGATCCAGAGTGCCTGCTCTGGATAGCCGTACAGCAACTCCCTCCCACACTCAGGCTTCCCCGCTCATTCTCCTTTCTCTCCGGTCCCGTGTTTGGCCTTCTGACACCACTCAGCTTTTTCCAAGACGGCTGGAAGGCTGCTCAGAGCTTGGCTCCCTTCATCGAGAAGCTGGCGGCCTCAGTACACACGGTAGGTTCCCTGGGCTTCTAGAAAGCCCCTGGAGTGAAGGAGCTGGCTCCTGCGCAGATCTCGAGGCCATGGCCCTCTTACTGCAGGTCTGTGCTCTGCATCGGGACCCCAGTGGGCTGATGGTGGCATCCTGCCCTTTACCCCACAGCTGCGCCAAGCCCAAGAGGAGGAGCTGCAGAAGCTGGCCCAGCTTCGGGACTCCCTCCGGGGGACACTACAGCTCGAGAGCAAAGAGGTCCGCCTCCCCTGAATCATCCCAAGCAAATGTCCTTCCCCAAGGCCCAGCAATGGGGAGAAGGGCCCTCGGGCCCCCCTTGCCAGGCCTCCGTGAGGGAGAACCCTGCAGGATGGGGCTCTTCCCAGCCAGATGCCTGAGGGAGGGCTCTCTGCCTATCTGAGGAGCAGGAGAGCCTGGGCCGGAAGAACTCGGGAGGCGGCTACAACATCCAGCAGCACCAGGGCAACAAGCAGTTTGGGACAGAGAAGGTGGGCTTTCTGTACAAGAAGAGTGATGGGTAAGTTACTCGGAGAGCTTCAGTGACTGACCCAAGTCACACAGCCGGTCATTGGCAGGGCTGGGGGAGCGCCCAAAGGAACTGCCCTCAACCCTGTGCAGACTCTTAGGGTTCCAGGATCAACAGGCAATGAGGAATCATCCAAATCCTAGACTGTCCTACACACCTGGGCAGGTGAACGTCGGCTCAAGATAGCTAGTTCTTTAGGAAGAAGCAGAGCCACAACCAGCCCTCAGGGAACAGTCCCTATGCCCATGGCCGCCTGCTCTCCCCGCCTCCCCCCCAACCCCACCCCAGTGCGATACACTGGATGTGCCCAGAAATGAAGGCCTGTGCCTTGCTCTGTGGTGGTAAAAAGTCGCCATCAGTCTAGGGAATGCACTGGCCCTTATGGGAGATTGTCACATGTTTACTTACTAACCAGCTCTTAATCCAAGGATAAGTCTGCAAAACCTCCATATGCCCAGACTCTGAAAGGGTCAAGTGACACCACCCCTTGAAGATAGGAATTCCCAGCTTGCACAGTTCTTTTTCCTGTGCCTGAACTGCTGACGCGCCTGATCCGTGCAAGCAATGCCAACAACACTGTTCCGTGGGCGAGGACACCCACTGGGGCAGCTCGACTCTGTCCTGTGGGGTCACCGAGTCAGAAAGGACTCGGTGGCCGTGGGTTTGCTCTGGGGGTTTTGATTATGCCACTCCACGCTGAATTATTTAAATACAAGCATTCTGGCTCCTGTCCTATAAGGCCTCTCCCCCTCTGAAAACGCATGTCTATTGGATGTCTTACAGATTGAAGCCAAGCTGTGTATACCCTTTTCCCCCTTGAACATTATTTTTATTAGCTACATCTTAGTCTGTTGTATGGATTTTTTTTTTCATTTTTAAATCTTTTTTTTTAAAATCATTTTATTAGGGGCTCATACAACTCTTATCACAACCCATACACACGTCAATTGTGTAAAGCACATTTGTACATTCATTGCCCTCATCATTCTCAAAACATTTCCTCTCCTGTTGTATGGATTAGATGAGCCTTAATTTATTTCATATAAGCTTTCGTTGATTATCTCCAGATTTCTAATAAAAAGTTTTTGTAAATTAAAAAGAAAAATCCCCAGAGGTTGGGCCTCTGTTTCCCCTGTCAGATTGGGAGCTCCCTGAGTCCGGGGAGCAGAGCTAGAAGGATGTGGTTGGAGGCTGTACAGGTGGGGTTTGGGACCTGGTTCAGGACTCTTGTCAGATATGGGGGAAGTAGGTGTCACCTCTGGGTAATGACCTCTTTCTCTGGGTCCTAGAATTCGAAGAGTCTGGCAGAAAAGGAAGTGTGGGGTTAAGTACGGCTGCCTGACCATCTCACATAGCACGGTGAGGAGGTGGGACGCTCCGGACAAGGGGGGAGGCTCCCCTCATGATGTCTGAGCAGACAAGTAGTGAGCCCACCCTCTGAAGACTGGCTGGGAGGCCGGGAGGCCACCCGGAGCCCGTCTCTCTTCCCTGGAAGGCGGACGTTTACAGATAGACCTGAATCCAGGTTGCTGCAGACACTGAGTGAGAGGAAGGAGGGGAGCCAAAGCCCCGGCCTAGTCTGCATCCACACCCCATGTCCTGGAGGAGCGGGGAAAGGGAGCCATCAGCTGGGACAGGACTAGTAGGCCCGTTGAACAGGCTAGGGCACTGGGGCTCTAGCGAGGAGCTTGGAAGGCCAAACAGTGACATGTCCATCCTCCACTCCCAAACTCCCACAGATAAATCGGCCCCCAGTGAAGCTGACCCTGCTGACCTGCCAAGTGAAACCCCACCCCGAGGAGAAAAAGTGCTTCGACCTGGTGACCCGTGAGTGGGCCCTGCCCCGCTTCTGCAGGGCTCTTCTAAGGGAGCCAGCAGCTCCCCCCCATCCAACCCAACTCACTGCCCTCGAGTCCATTTGGACTCACAGCGACCCTGTAGGACAGGGTAGAACCGCCTCTGTGGGTGTCTCTTTATGGGAGTACAAAGCCTTTCTCCCTCGGACCCGCTGGTGGTTTCGAACTGCTGACTTTTTGGTAGCAGCCCAACTCCTAACCACTACGCCACAAGGGGTCCCTTAGCAGCTCTTAGGAGACTTAAATTAGGTCCAGTTCCCTCCTGTTCATCAAACAGCTTCTGCCACAGTTATCAACTCTCCTTAGACCCTGGGTCCTCTTTTTAGAGCTTCCATCCAATATTCCACTGAACATTAAAATGCACCCACATGAAATAATGATGCTTTCTGCAAAATGTATTTGAGTGGATTGGGAAAACTATATTCAAATTTTTATTCTTGTTGATTTGTTTTTTACTTTCATCCTTTGGGGTGTTTAGCCCCACTTTATTTACCTGGGGCTGGGTGCAGCCTGAGGCAGGTCTAGATCCCACCCTCAGAAAGGGAACTCTGGCCAGGTGTGCGTTAAAGACCCAGGGTTAAAGACCAGGAGAGAGCTGTTGATAGGACTTTAAGTGGTGGGAGGGCAGCAAGGTGGAATCAGGAATGCACAGCTGCGTGCAGGAGAGGACACTGGAGTTTGAAGGGCATGTAGAATGTAGACCTTGGGGAGGATGTGGAGCAGATAGAACTGGCAGAGGGGAAGGCGTGGATGCAGGAGAGTGGGTCTGGCTGGTTGGGCCAGAGTGGCGGGATCAACCAGGAGCAGTGGGAGGTGGGGGCCTGGGAATGCTCCTACAAGACCAGGCCTTCTTTCCCAGCGGTAGGGAGCCACGGGAGGTCTTAGACCAAACCCTAAGCCAGGCAACCTGGTAGAAGAGGGGAGAGGTAGGAAACGGGGAAACTAGACAGGAGGCTGAGGGGTGGGTGGGGTGGGGACAGTGGAGAAGAAAATCTTGCCTCTCAAGTGGGTGGGTGCCCTGCCTTGGGAGACCACCCCTTCCTTAGAACTTTCAGACAGAGGGAACCTTGTGGGCTTCCTTCTTGTGAGGGACTTCTGGGAAGCTGGCCCCACTCCTAGCCACGTTCATTCCCCTCCCGCCTCTGGTGTGGGAGATCCTGGCCCCCCAGGGACAAAGGCTCCATCTAGACCTGGGGGTTCTCTGCCATCAGAGATTTCTGTGGGCCTGATGCCCTGTCTACA